ATGCAATCTCTTCCCTCCTTCACCTCCATTCTTAATGACACCTCAGAAAGTTTAGATAATTAAACATAAATTTGATGTGTTGAATAAAACATTTTACACAAGAAGAATCAAAACTTTTTTTTTTTCCACAACCAAATATGCTGACATTCAAAATCTATTTTCTCCCCATTTTTCTCACCTGAAATTATTATTTAAAGTTGACCAGAATAAAAGGAATGAAAGAATTTGCAAGAAATGCCACTTTTTAACAAATGTGCTGTTTGTAAATAACCACTAATATGAAATTCACTCAGTTCTAACAGGAAACATTTGGTTTGTGATAATTTCTAAAGCAGCCTTGCTCTCTTCTCAACAACTGGAATTGGAATTATTTTCTTCACTTTTTAGGGGGGGCATAATCAAATAGAAAGAAAAAAATTGCTTCTAAGGGAAAAAGCAAGTAATTGCAGAAAGATTTGATGTTTCTTGGAAGCAAAGGGGAGGTAAGAGGATTGTAATCAATTTACAGAGAGATGCCTATCAAGCTTGAACTAACAACACAAGACATGCAATCTGACACTAAAAGCATAATATAAACAAGGTAGAATAGCAACTACACCTTGGCAGCAGGAAATGACATGCTTTGGAAAGACTGAATTTATGTTAAAGGTAATGAGATAGTCTGCTATTTTAACAAATTGACATTTATGACTGAATAGCATCATTCAAAGTTCAAAGGGAATCTATGTGCAGTAGATTTACTTACTTTGGGGAACGAAGATAAAGATTTCTACTAGATTAGTACTAAAAAGAAAAAATGTGCCATGCTCTACAAATGCCTTCAGCTGATCACTGAACCTAGATGATACTCTAGACAGTTTTGGTAAGTGAGGAGAACATTTAGAGAAACCATCATAATCTGGGGCAGAATGGAAGAACAAAACTAGACCTGAATGTTAAGTGCTAACACCCAAAAAGATCTAATTTAGACAAACTAATAAAAGCAATTAGAAAACTCAAAAGCAACCAATACCTCAAGGATTTTGATATTAGAGAAGCTGGAGAATCTTTAAATCAATGATTAAAAGTTAAATGGAACTTGCCCTCAACAATAAAAGCAGAGGGAAGAGGTTGGAAGCAACAATGGTGGAGCTAACCCAAAAGTCAGGGCTGGGAAGCCCAAAACTAAAGCAAGAAATATCAGCTAAATTAAAAATTGCTAAGGAAAATAAAGAGCGGGATGTTCTTCAGCTGTACAAATAAGAAGGAACCAAGAGAAAATAAATGATGCCACTATGCCAAGTGGAGTTCAGATAAAAATAATTCAGATATAGCTATAAAACTAATGGCAACTATTTACCTCAGCTATTTGATAACATGGAAGTAAACTTAGGGTAGCAGAGTGATGCAGAGGGAATATAAATTACCATTTCTGGGTACAAAGAAAAAACTTCTGGCAAAATAGTTAAGCTGCCCATAAACAAATTCAGGTTGCAAAAAGAAATCATCTTAAGCAGCAACAAAATAAAATCCTCTAGTATACTGTGTCTTTCCAAAGAACACAGCACTGAGACCTTGATATCCTAGTTTTGGATTAGTGAAACTACTCATCATGGGGAAGTTACACTAAGTGCATTCTCAGGACAGGCACCCACATTTAGACCAATGCACAAGAGGATGACATGAAAACAGGAGGAAAAATGGTTGTATGCAGAGCAATGCACAGCATTCCCAGGCTGTCAGTAGCCCAGGACTTGCCCACTGCTTCTGGATTTTGAAGAGCTCACCCAGGAACCCCAGAAATTAGGGAAAAAAGCTTCACATTCATCAAAAATTACCTGGTCAAATTCTTTGTACCATATAAATACCTTAATTTAGGTTCACCTATCACCCCAGACTCCCTGTGTATTCAGTAGAGAGAATCAGGCATTTGGGATAAGATTCATCTGACCTGTTTTAGCTGTAACACTTCTATCAGAAATGCTTGCTTCTCTTTGCTAATCTAAGACAGACTATGGCACCCACATGGGGAGCCCATGGAGACCTTCAGGTAAGCACCTGAGCCATAACACAGGCAACTTGCACAAGCTTCAACAGGTCCCAGCAGGGGATACAATAGAGGCAGCCTTGACCACTTCAGTACAGGCAAGCAGAGGAAATCAGAGAATGCTTAATCAGAAATAAGAGCACTTGTTTTATTATCCCCACTTCCTTGGCTTTTTTCCTGCTATAAAATCATCATGTGTTTGTACAGTATTCTTATTCTGGGAATGTCTTTTGGTCCACATAAACATCTGCACTTAGTTACATTAGCCAGTATCCAAATCTCAGCGAGATCCTGCCCTGATTATTTTGTTCTGAATGTTTTTGCCAGCTTCTATTCCCAGAACACCCTGGATTTATAGTTATGTCCAACCTCCAGCTTTGCTGGTTAGAATATTGTAACACACATGCTCAAACTGAATGCCTTTTGTACTAGGACAAAGCCTTTCCAGTAGGCTTAAGTAATAAACCATTAAATTGTGCTAGCATATGTCATTAGCAGCAGGAAAGTGAACTATTGTTGGATACATTTTGCTGGTCTGTATTTTTAACTATACTGTTTGACCTACATCTTTTGTCCAATTTCCTTAATGTCCAGCCATAAAATATGACCCTAGATTCAAATACCAAGAGAACCTGTTGTGGCAATTTTGCCTAACAGTGTTAGGCAATCCAGATTTGTGTAAAACAATCCAGATTTGGAGTAAATAAACCAACTAGCCTTTTTTGGGATCACTGTGTGTTTTTGTCTGCTGCCCTGTATAGCTAGATCCAAAACATTAATAAAAAATAAATATACAGTTTCATCTGAGAAGACAAACAAAAACACACAGGATATAAATCAAAATAAGGATTTGTAAAAGAGTAGAGTAAGCACTTATTGAGCCAAAAATATACTGTTCTTGTGAAGAACTCTGCTCTGACCACTGTGCTTTCTCCAATGGACGTTTGTGGAGTTCCAGGCCAGAACATTTTTGGAGCATAAAGACATGAAGCATTCAGATCCCAGCAAAATTCACTGTCATCTGCCTAATTCTTGTGGAGTTGAACTTCGCCACAGTTGTGCACCAGCTTAACTTCACCCCTGCAGCTTCTAGGGAATTATTCACTGCTGTGTAAGGCTTATTTTACGTGACTGACGATTGCCTCAAACTGTGAATATGCTAATTAATAAATACTTCAGCTGACCTCCTACTCTACCCTCCCTAGATACAATCTGAAAACAAATTTTCTGCCTTTCTTCAAGCAATAAAACTGGTTTGGGATACAATTCCTTTGTATCTGGTTTGAACCTCCCAGCCCATGCTGAAATGTATCTGCTTTGCTTTAGTGTGTGAAAACACACGTGCTAGAGAAACAAAAGCTTCAGAAAAAAAAACAGTAAAAAAAAATTTAAAATATAATTAAATCTTTTGAGGTGAAATACAAGTGATTTACCCCTGTCAGCCAATGTAATCTCATGTATCATCCATTCTTATTTTCCCCTCTCAAATCCCAGCTCCTGGGTCTGAGCAAGACAGTTTTTTTGGCTCATGGTGCCCCTCTGAAGCAGGCAGAGATGAGAAATGTCCAGCTGCCAGCAGGACCAGGTTCACCTGTTTCCCCTTCCCTCCAGCCACTCACCCCTGAGAAGGGCAAACACAGCAATTTTGTTCTGGGACTGGAGAGGTCGTCTCAATGCAGACATTTTGAAGACTGCTGTCATTTAAGCACTGCCCCATTCCCCTTGTTGACTGGCCCAAAGTTGCAGCCCTCCACCACAGCCCCTGTCCAAGAGGGGAGCCAGGGCCCTCCTTCTCCAGTTCCAGCTCCAAAATAGCCCCCTCTCCCCAGGATTTTATAGTCAACTAAAATACCTGGTCAAGACACAGAGAACAGGTGATTTATGCATTGTATCCCTGCCAGTATCAGTGATTCCAGTGTCCAGAAATGCATAAACCTACCTCAGAAAGAATGCATAAACCTACACCAGGAAAATACCATGCTTAGAATTTTGTCTAAGTGTTTTTAAGCATACAATGTGTTTTTCTAAACCAGAAATAATCCATAAGAATGATGTCTGTGCAATTTAACAGAGTGGAGGAAACCCATCCCTGAATATCACCTGAACAACCTGGTCTTCCACAGTCCTGATAAATACATTTAGGGCATATAAACTACACACACACACACACACACACACACACACACACACACACATTAAAAAGCTCACACGCATAACTCCTGTCAAAGATTGTAACACTCTATTCTAAATATAAATTAATTATCTGAAATTTTTCCTAATCCTTTGCCTTGAAGGGTGCCAGAGTAAAACTTACTGATCCAAAGACTCAACCTTCCACTAGGACCATACTCCATTACTAGCCTTTATTCAAAACCCTTGACAGTATGCCTCCAATTCTTATTCTTACCTGCATACACGCTTGAAAAAACCACTGCGTTCTTTTTATAAAACAGATCTGCAGCAGAACTTACACATTTGGAAGAAGCTATTTTTTTTCTGCAATATGCAAACACCCAGGAAATTCAGTATCAGTCATAACCTCAAGACAAGAATTTATTGCAACTAAATAACCAGTGTTGATTTGAAGTCACCATTACGTTTTTTACTACATATACATAGTGGGGGGTGGAAAAGAACAGAGTCACCATTAGCATAAAGATCCATCTTGCATTTCTATAAGTACATAAATTCTACAACATGTACTGGTACACAGTTCAAGGGCTTCTCTATGACAGTTCAGATATTGTACACTGTGCTAGAAGCAGGTTCTGTTGATGAGAAGACAAGCACCCAAGCGTTTGGTAGTGGCCCCTTCCATGCACTTAATCAAGGACATTCCCATATTATCATGGTTAAACCACGTCATGGGCTGTGCTTCCAGACCCCAGCTGTCCCTAAGACTGTCAATAAAGCTTATAGAGTAATAATATTAATAATAATGAAAATATATATAAATAAGAGACGATATGTCTTCTTCTGCCTCAGTTGCAATGATCTGAATCTTCAGTTACTAGAGAAAAGGAAACCCATTGTTTTTGATTGCATAGAAGAACTAGTCCTAGTTATTCTGGAAAAGCAAACTCTAAGTATCTCCTTGGCAGAGGGAGAAACAGGACACCAAAGATTGCACTCTATTTTAGGGGTAAAAATGGTATAAAATTTTATTTGACAAGTTAATAAAAAAGCATTTAATTAGTCCATTAAAACACTTCATTACAAGAAAGCATAATCCAGTTATAGCTACCCTACATGCAAGTTAATTCTGAGGTGAACAAATTGAGAATAAGCAGTTTAGAATCGATATCTACATCTATACTGTATCTATTTTATTTTTAAAAGGTATTTTGTGCAATTAAAAATTTGTTAGATGTCAGACAACTTCAAAAACTAATACAGCAAACTTCAGAACTATTATTCTCAGAGGACATCATCTTTTTTCAGAGATGATTGAAGTTTCCTCACAGTTTTTAGCAGCTGAAGAGAGCTTCTGCTTTTCTGCCCAGGACAAGATTTAGACTTACTTTCCTTTAGAGTGACTGCAATCTCTGTTGCTTCCTTTTGGTCACCACACTTTAGTTTGACATGAGTTGCCCTTTGCTTCAATTTCTGAGTTTTTCTCTTTAATTTCTGCACCTAGGAAGAAAGATAGCATGTTACGTACTCGAAAGACCCACAACTGTAGAGTTTACGAGATTTATACCAAACTCCAAACTACAGATGTCCAAGGAACATTAAAAAAAAAAAAAAGTTTAAACTTACTAATCTTGCACATTTGTCTTGCTTTAACAGAAAACTGACCTTGCCCATATAGAAAGAATTACAGAAAACTAACCTCACCCACACCCAATAGGTTGTTGAATCCCATCACTCCCTAAGGTGAAAATGCTTGCTTGAGAGAGACAGAATATCATCTGTTAGCAATCTATATTTACAACGGTCTTTTTCCATTTCAGATTGTACTACCCTAATAAAAAAAACAAACCAAAAAAGCAATAAACCTCTAAAATGTATACTGTTTCTTATTGGTTACTGTATCTAAGCAGCTTACTTTGAGGTCTCCCTAGCAAAAATGGAAAACAGAATAAATAGGGTTAATTGCTAAAGAATGTTTTTTTAAATGTCAAATTATAAGTCTTGACTTGCACTTGGCGTGAAAAGGTCACTTCCCAAAGATAAAATTAGGCTGGAAGCATTCCAAATGCCAATTTAGGCTTCAAGTCCATTTCTAAAAATAATTAACTTTAATTGCATTCTAGAACATAGTATTAACTGTGAAACACCGAGATGACTATGACATTTTCAGTATGACGGGTTCTAGAAGTAGAAATGTACTTCAGAAATATTAAGAGTGGTCTGTACAAAATACAGACCCTATGTGCAAAAGCATCAGTATAGGCAAAGGAGCTGTGGGAATGGCCTGTATTGATAACCAGGGCATGACAGACAGCAATTATACAGACGTTACTATTTACATAATGATCCTAAAGGGTGTGCTCTGATAAGGCTGTACAGGAGCACAGAGGACTTGCCAGAAGATCTGCACCCTGATAATAGGCAAGGATGACAACAAGGTTGCACCACATTGTACGTGCAAAACAAACGCAAACTGTAGCCATGAAGATATGTAAAAGAAAGAAATAAAGGTGCAGTTGTCCACTTAGGTTCCTGGATGATGAACTCAGCAAGATTCTGAGGCAAGGAAAACACCATAATTGTTGGCTCCTCAAGAATATATGGGATTTATTCAAAAAACAGTTGACATTGCCAAGAGAGGCAACGAGGACTCAATCCATATTGCTAACATGCGACTCTGACAATTCTGCTTCGATATAAAGCACCTTCATGCTTGCAATTACATGGACAATAAAAAGTCTGAGTGAATAAAATCTATCACAGAATGAGCATGAATAAAATTGGTCAGATTTAAACTAAATTAACTATAACCTCCCCATTTCATAAGGCCTCACACTGAGTTTTGTTTTGTTTCCTGTATAAGCAAAATTCCCAGGTGAATCTATCTATCCTGAAACATAAGATGGAAGAACAGAAAGCTATCAGACAGAACTATGGATTTAATTTTTAATCATATGTTCCAAAACAAATTGCTACGAAAGAGTTAAGCTGTTCATCTACAGAAGAGTGATTTTATATGGGTATGTATGAAAAGTTGTTATCTATGGTTCTAAACCAAATACTGACAGAATGCAGACAGGTTCAGGGTTAAACAAAACTGAAAGTTTTGTCTGGCTATGATTTTGGAGAACCTCTGGTCAACAGACTATTTAGTTAACAAGAAGCTTCAATATTTCAGAAATATAAAAGACATTTAATCCAGTCTGTACAGGAATTATAGCTTCTATTTTCTCATTTCCCAGAGGGACACAAAGGAATGAAATCTCAACAGTTTTTCTTAACACAGTGAGCAGAGTGACAGACTGAGCAACCCAGCTCTGTATTGCAGAATGGACACAGGGCAGGAAGTTTTCCCACTAGCACACATTCCTAGCTGCCAGCTGTGAGCACTTTTTCTTGATCAAATGAAGGAATTGGGAGGTATAAGAACACGAGGTAGCAGTTTAATTACAATAACTCATACTGGAACACCCTGGCTCAAAACATTCCAGTGACATTCTAGCTGATGACAACAGGAGGCAGAGTTGTGGCAGCCTTTCAACTAGAATGTGACTAGCTAGAGACTTTTCACGTTATTCTTACAGTAGCTTGATGCTTTATCAGCTTGGATATTTGTTCTCCTTTAATCTCCATTTGTTTTACAAGGCAATCCAGCTCCTGTTCCAGGCCTTCATGAACTCTGGAATCTTGAGTCTCCTGTATCTGCTTCAGAAGTTCTTGATGCTCACTGTTAAAGACAAGAATGGCATGCTAAGTATTCATGATATAGTCCCTAGGATTTCTTTCAGTACTTCCAGTGTACTGCAGGAGCTACTAGCTATTCTGTCTGGATTACAATTTAGCATTATTTACCCTCTCGCACAACACACATTAATCCGGTATATATTAACATGAGAAAAGGAAAAGCTTTTCCCATGCGTCTGATTTTCTCATTCCAAATTTGTAGCTGATGTCCACCTTATTTCTCCCTCTTCCCACAGACTTAACAACTACACATGCAGTAGTGTACGTGAGATTTTTTAAAGCAAACAGCAGCTATGCAATGCAGCATTTTCACTTCTTGCCCGCTTTAGTGCAGATTTTGAAAGCTTAGCGTAGTACAGAAAAGTATTGTTTAAACTAGTACATTCAAGTTACAATTTTTCTGACAGATCACTCAAATTAAAATATTCTATTCCATTCAAAATTAAATTAACCGGCTTAACTAAAAAAAAATTGTGTAGATCTTCTTGATACTTAGATATCTGAACTAGTTGAAACCAGAGACCCTCTCCTAGATAAGGCACTTCTTTACAAAAGTCATGGCTTCTTTTCTGACTTCGAGTAATTGCTGCTCCTTGACAGTTTAATTGAAGCAACTGGTTGTTGTTATAAAAAAAACCCCCAAAGCCTGTCCTTGAACTGCCATGAGTAAGCCAGACATTGTTTTTTGAAGATGAGGTTGCTTGCCAGTTTAAATTTTGCCACATCAAGGGTTTCAAATCACTGTCAACATCCTAACTGGTTTAACCAACACACCCTCCTCTGTGGTGTGTGTGCAAACCACAGCTCATCATGTCAACAGGTCTGCTATGACCAGCTACATAGCTTTGGCCCACAATTCTACAAGCTTGCATTAATCAGAAGATGCCTAAGAACACAAGTTGTGGTCCCCATTTACTTGTATGGCTAGAAAGATACCTACACTCCCATTTAATGCATTAGCTTCTTCCACACCCTGCCCATTTTCTAGCAGGAGACTGTTCCTCTTTCACAACCCCCTTACAGGACCAGCAAGTTCTCCTGCAACAAGCAAACAGTATGAAGGGCAGACTGAGCACAAAGACCCATCAGCTACGCAGGCACGGAGAGAACACAGAGTGAGTACAAAGGAACAGGACAGATGATGTGACAAGACTATTCATGCCACTGCTGTACTAACCTATTCCACCACCCAGACTGACTGCATCCTGCAGGCCTACTTAGCATTAACACCACCTTTGCAGTTTTGTCCTGAAGAACATTTTTGGCCTACTCTGTAAATCCCAGAGTATGCTTATAATTTCTAAAAAGCACATGCTTGAAAGATTTTTTGTTTCTTGCAGCTGTTAACTTCAGTAGCAGCTCATGTAAATATAGGATGTGGAAGCAGAAAAACCCAGATGAAAAGTATGTTGCTTGCTCACAAGACCAGTTAAACACTAGGAGAGAAAGAATTTTTTGAATGAGAAAAATCCTACCAGTCAAGCCTGCTCAGGTCATTCTGTCGAGGAGTAGTCCTACACCTAAAACAGGCTAGGCTCAACTATATATAGCACACCTGTAGCTTCTCAGGGCTACTGCTGAAGTCACTTATAACACCAGGGATGAGTACTCACAAGCTCATTTGGCCCAGCTCATCTTGTGTGGCCAACAGAAGGTCTGAAAGACTTCTGGCGGCAGTAGGTGACGTGGAACACGATGATACATACTTTGAAAGGGCACTGTGTCTGCAAGTCCCAGACGTAGCTCCTCTTTTTCTTTGTGATGAGATACATGGATTGCGATGCTTCATAATATGCAACACACTTTGTATGTTTGCACTGACAGAATGGCTGGAGCCGACGGACTTAAAGAAGAATTATTAAGTGGTTTACAGAAGTAAATAACAATTACAGTAAAGAGACTTACTCAAACTGTAGATGCCACTTTAGTGAGAACATTGGTTTCTACCCACCTTCCCAGCCACAAAAGGTAGTTCACCAGCCTTTACATGTAATTGTGAAAGGTGCATTTTCTTCATTGTAGGATTTGTCTGACATAAGAAAACATAAGACAAGAAATTCCAGTGTGCTGACCCAAGAGCACAACCTTAAACTTTATTTTTTTAGTAAGTAAAATTCAAGTAAACACACAGAGAAATGCATCACCTCAGTTTCCCTCTGGTTTTAAAAAAATAATTTCCCTCCTGTATGTGTAGTGAGTAAGACTTTGTAATAGCTGAGATGAATAAATTTTATTCCATATGCATGTAGCAGATAGTTTGACAATTAGGTTGACATTAAAGAAACTGAACCTTGCTTAAGTTTTCAAAACCATAGTTGCAAAATTTTTGACTGATCTGCAACATGTGTTGCAAAATGAATTCTCTCAATTTCAGCAATCCCCTCAAAACACACCATCTTAAGATGCTGAGTTAAAACTCCTTTGGAAACTAATTTTGCCAGATAAACTGAAAGGCAGCTAAGAGAATGTGGGACGGCAGTAGGACTGTAACAAAGGTTACTGTCGAGATGGTAAGGGAAGGTTTTCCAGTGAGGTGCTAACAGCCCTAGTACCACGTTAATTATTGAGGGAAGGAAAGAAAAAGAAAAGGAAAAGAAAGGGAAAAAAAGAGTTATTTAGCACTGTTTGTCACTTTGAAAATGGAGTAAAGTGCAGCAGATGAATCAAGTGCCTCTTACATCACTGTTTTTCACAAATTCCAATCTCTATGTGAGCCAGATGCTATCAGCAACAGTATGCTAATAAAATTTTTCATGTTACCTTCTTAGGTTTTTTCTTCTTCCCATTTTCATTTTCAGGTTCACATTGAGATGTTGCTGAAGACATCAAAATTCTGTTTATATGAAATCCTGTTTGAAGCTGTGGGAATAAGCAAAAAAGAAAACAACCATTTAATGTAATATTAGAAGTATGAAATATCATAGTTTAATTAATTCCCTCTTTCATGCACGGATAAGAACCAATTAAGGGAACTATTAACTGTCCTGCTTGGAAGGCATAAGCTACTCTTAAAAACTGAACAGATTACTTGGAAGGCAGGGTGTTGGGCAGATCTTACAGCGCTGTCTTAGAATTCCTCATTTTCATATCCAGCTGCAGCAGCTGTATTTTTCCACTATGACAATCAGCAACTGAGATAAGCCAATTCTGCCACACGCTGGGGATCTGATCATAAAATCCAAATAATATGAACATTTGGCTTTACAATCTGGGGACAAACTAAGCCTTTCTGTGTAACATTGAGGTCAAAGCTGCTGGACAATCATTAGACTGCTCTGTAGTTCAAAGCTGATATCAAGGCCCATGATAAACAGGATAATAATCATTCTCAATTAAACACAGGACAAGGACTTTGTTTTGGCATGTGTAACAGTTCTGGCTAAACAATGCTGGAGGTCCACCACTAAAGTGAGAATATTCTGGCTTTTCTGTCATCAAAAGGAAGTGAACCATGCCACACTCTCTGTTTCCCAGCCCAGATTCAACAGACCTAAATCCATTCTGCAGTGCACTACAATGGCACCAATACTAGTTTAGGACTCAGTTTACTGGACCTAAGTCCTTTCTTGAGCAAATGTTTATACTACTGCTAAAGTCAGACTACCTGCTCTGGGAAAGTCATTCTTAGTATGTTTCTCAGAAGATAAAATCTCTGTTCTAGGCTTTCTGCTCTGCAGCAGCAAGCCATTTAAGCAAGAAACCCAAAAGCCTGCAAGTTTTCAACTGTGTCATTCTGCTAGATTATGGAGGTAGTCAGACACCTGGGCTACAATCTGCATGTTATTTAAAGCTTGCTGGATTGATGAAAACCCATCATCCTTGGATGAGGTATAAAAACTGACAGCAGCGATGAATTAAATTAAGGTGTCAGCTTTGTTTATGGCTAGGTTCTTTCAAAGTAACTCTTCAGCTCTACATTAACCCACCCCACCCCAAGGGAATCCCCTCACAACTGCTCTCTTTCAAATGGCTGCTACTTATCCACAAAGTGAGGTTTGCAATGCTACTACTTTGCCCCTTTAACAAAAGGTTTCTTTGATTTTGCTCTCTTCCAAAAATATTCCTCTCTCAGATGTATGGTTGCCCAACAAACTGATTATGGCTTCACAGAATAACGAATTATTCAAGATCTCATTTGATGAACAATCACTGATCAAAGATTTTTCCAAGTATAGCTCTATTTCTAGGTACTGCAAATAAAGGTTATCTGATTTAGTTGCAGATTTTCTAGAAATTAATTTTCTACCTAGATCACTTAAAGCAGCATTGAGGCAGATGAACTGTGTCATTAATACAAACCCAAGTAGAATCTTCACTGAGATATGCAACACACCTGGCAAGCTTTACTAATACGTAGTTTATAACTAGTCTAAGAAGTATTGCTGGAGTTCTCCCTGGGTAATAAATATGCGGAGTTAAAATGTAATAAAAAAAGAAGGTATTTTGGATGAGAGAATAGCTTTCTTCAGTCCTAAAAAATAAGATAAAATAAAACCTTTTCAGTCTACCTGAGAACTTTTATCTTGTATTAGCTTCCGCTGATGGTCTTCCTTACAAATCTTTTCTTCTAAGTGTTTGATCTTGTCCTGAATTTGAAGACAAGAATGATTAGTCACAATTCAGTTTGTCATGCTGAATCAGAAGTCTGAAGTAGCTTGCAATTGTAATGTGGGATAACAAAGGAATGTAGCAACTTTTAAAGCCCAGACTGAAAAAAGACTCATGCACATGAAACCGAAGTGGCATTCAGTCAGGCATGCTTTAACAGAAGTAACTTCTGCAAAACTTATTACTATTGATAGTATGCCATAAAATTATATCAAATGACTTTCAGACTGTCATTCCATGGATGCTTACTTCGGCAATTCTCTGAGTAGCAGTAAGTTGAAGACACTCTTTTTCTAGTATTTCAAGCTTTTCAAGTTTTGCATGCAGTTCCAGCCAGTTCTGATCCTCCTCTTTCCGCAGCTGGGCCTGGAAAAAGTAAGCAAGAAAGGAGTTGGCAGCTGAGTGAAACTGTTTCAGACAGAAAAAAAAAAAATAAAATCCCACACTACAGCAAAGGTGTTTGACTAGTTTAAATTTCATATTTTTTAAATTGAAATGTGATGAAAAATACCAGGCAGACAAAGATGACTTAAGTTTCCAGCAACCTTTTTGTTTACCAAATGTGCAAGTATTAGCATGGTTTCGCTCATTAGGAGTTCCACCCAGGGAGATTTTCATGCAATTCAATGAATGGTTGTCATCAGCCAGTCAGTCAGACAGTAAATTGCTTCTGTTTGCTACCACCCTGAGCAAAGCTGAGGAAAAATGATGGCCATAAAAAAATTCAGATCCTGCACATTTCTATACTTTTGAACTATATAGTTACTTTGTAAGTATGCTAGAAGGCTTCACCTGTTGTTCTAAAATAATTTTCTTTTCCAGTTCCACACTGGAAACCATTTTCTTCATGTAATCCAGCTGTTTCTCCAGCAGGGAGCAGCGGGACTGTGCTGCATTTAACTGCTCACTTGCATCTACAGAGAGAAACAAGACATTTGGTACAGCAAAGGGAGCTACACATTTAGCCAGACTGTAATTTCATTGAGGAGGTCTCTGTCTTCAAAACACGGAAGAGAAGTGTTGTTAGTATGAACCAATCATATGGTTAAAATGTATTTTATATATAAGACATGAGAATCAAAATGTTTTTTCAGAGCTAGTCTTTAATTTGAATTCCAGAGATGTGAGCACTGCAGTTACTTCGATCTGTATCAGCAGATATCTAACCAGAATCTGGTTTCTTCCCTTCTCCTATCTTTTCTCAAGTTAGCAGTGTTATGTAAGCAGCTGCTTGCTTATTGTAAGAGTTAAACATACCACCTGAAATATGCTTAGTCTTTAAAATAGCTTCATGGGTTATGCAATACTTCATTAATATATGTAAAAAAATATCTCAACTCGATCCACAACTATCAAGCTCCTATACCTCCCCAGTTTTGAAGCAAAGAATGAAGGGGGGCTGTGTTAATTAGGAGTTTTTCAAAACAAACACTCCTTGGATTATATAGTCTTAGAGCTGCTGTGGCTACACCTTATCACTTAAAAGAAATACCTTTCCTCTGTTGCATCAGTTCTTGATGTGCTGTGTCCTTCTCGCAGGATTCATGTTCTAAGGCCTTCTTATACTGAGCAGCTGCTCTGGAGAGGCTGCACAGATCAGCTTCAGCCTGTGACTTCTCCAGCTCTAGACGGTGGATCTTTTCTTGAAGAGTTTTCAGGGCTGCTACTACAGCTAGCAAACAATGCAGCAGTTACATCTTAAGTAACAGTTCCCAATTGTGATGATCATCATCATTATTAGAAAACACTTCACACTGCAATATAATACCTAAATTTTCTTCCTAGGATCACTCCTAAAATTAATTATATTAATTATATTAATTATTAAATATACTAACATATGCAGAACATATCTGGGAGAAAATGGACATGTTTCCTGCATAACGGAGGTATAAAACATTGGTCCTATGAGCAAAACTAGTTTCACTCCAAATGGCAGCAAGCACAAAGAAATCATGACAAATAGAGTATAATAAATCCTGGGACTTCTGTTTACATAGAAGCAGGGAACACAGGTATCCAAGTGAGGTCACAAGTTTTGGTGTAATACAACTGGTCTGCACAGATTAGAAAAAGAAAACATGCTCAGAACAGGGGGAGAAATCAGATACAAAGAGAAAATTTAGCAATACTTTATTGTTTCAAAAGTTAATGATTCAATACCTAGTTTCTTGTATTTGATGATTCTTTAAACCACAGAAACAAGTTTGCAAGATTTTGCTTTTAGCTTTTTGACAAATCAGTATTTGTCAAAATTATGCCGAAAATAAAAGTTGTAATTTCAGCTACAAGAGAAAGTCTACCAACACTCCAAAAAGTATATACACCTGTGGAAGTTTAAGACATGTTCTGTAACAAGTCAAGTTTATTTTCTGACATTTCGTAAGTCCTTATTCCAAATCTCTCATTACAGGAATACCCATCAAATATTGCTAGCTCCTTAACAACTTTCATCAGCTTAAAAAAACCCCAAACCAATAAAACAAAACCAACTTCCCCTGCCACCCCTCCCCCCCAGATAAAAACCAGATACCCAAAAGCATCAAGCGGGACCATCTTTTCCATCTTTCTATTGGTATGTCAAACATTTCCTTATTTAAACACTTAGCTACGTAACATTACACTGAACATTTTAACGCCAAAATGCCCAAACTCTGCACAACATATGATAACTTCCGAAGTTGCAGATTTTTCAGGTGAAGAACAATGATCACATGCACACTCATGGGCTATGACTGTAAGTCCAAGGATGAGCATCCTTATCATTCACCAAGCTCTCCAGATACGCTAAGCCCTCAAGCATTTGCTTTGTGAGCTCCAGAGAGTAGTCACCCATGAAGGCACACAGCCACCATAGTGGACCCATATCTCATATAGACTAACTTTCATGCTGATAACTTTCCTGAGAGTTTGAATTGTTCAGAAGTTCTCCCAAGGAAACATACCACACAAAAAATTACCTAGAAGTGATTTTAAGCTGGACAGAGTCAAACAGTGCTATGCAAAGCCAATTTCAAGTCATACCATACTGGAGGTACCATACTAATGACCTTTTTTTACTGTATTTAAAGTCATGAACTGCTTCTGCTGAGTTTGAAGCATCCTCCTTTGCTTTTAGAGGAAGTCTGACAACTTTAAGTTAAACAAATTTCAAAGGCAAAGTTTATAAGGATGTTAGAAGACTTGCAGAGGTTTCCACTCCAGACATATGACTTCAGTGAGACTACTCCCTCAGGACACATATACATCCTGTCTCAATGTCAGCCTGATAATCACAAAAAGCCATTGAACCAAGTAAAACAGAATGGGGAGTTTGCTCAGGAGATTTCACATGGAACAATTAAAAAGACCACTTTAAGGACATATGTTGGCTTTACCCTGGTTATTTGGGATAGAAGGCCTGTCACCAGCAACAGCTGCCAACTTCTTTGATTCTTTATAAGCAAAGGCTGCAGGAAACATCTGATCTGGTGGATGAAGAAAGCTTCCTATGTAACTGTTCTTTGATTCAGAATCCATAGCCTGTAGAAAGAGAGCTACTTAATATTATTAGTTCTTTAACAGACTATGTAAGATTTTTCAAAGTATGCCACTGGGCTGTCCCTGGCTCTGTTTATATCAAACCAGATCATTTGCCTAATAATAATAATAATAATAATAATAATAATAATAATAATAGCAACGACAAGCCCCACACCCCCACACAAATCCTGTATTTTAAAGTGACTCCAAAACAATGCCTTTCATAACGCTAAACACAGCTCTCTTTGACCGCTCAAAATTTTCCAAGATTTTTCTCGGTAGTTTCTAGTAACTTATGCTGATTTTTGTACTTTTAAAACCTAAGTATTAACAGCATTTTCTATTAACTGTTTTACAGACTTCAATGTCTTGCCTCTAAGCGCTCCCTGCAGAGTAAGCATTACAAGTTTTACAGCCTGTTTCCATTTGCAGCCTCCTAAATGCTTTTCTCCCCATCTTTTTGGATGAAAAACCAAATTACACATGGTAAATAATGTCCATTATTACATAATAAAGACACAGTTCTCCACATTTAGTGTTGAGATATCAGAAGTATATTTAATATGCCATAGCCCCAGCATTACCCCCATTATCCCCCAGCACTATCCCCATTATTAGGCATATGTATTAAATCCTGTTTCTCTACTCCCTTTCTCCCCTACCCTTTCACATTCTTTGTTTTATCAGAAGCACATTTGAAGACAGTTCACACCCTGTCAAATAGTGATTTTCCTTGATGCTCAAGACATGGACAGTGAAACTTGCAGAAAGTGCTTTAGGCTATTACAACCTCTAGGAAGTTAAAGCAAGTTTTAAATCAACCTGTTGCTACCTAGCAGAATAATATCAAGCATTTCACTTGATACAGTGTAAGAAATGAAGAATATATACAGCTTCAGCTAACAGAAAAACAGCTTATTTGAAGGTTCAGTGACACAACAATTATGGTATCACTTGAGTTTAAAATACAAGGCGTGCAACTGGAACAGTCTTCCTGCTTGGGCAAGGCTATTTACAGATGTTAGTCTCCACGAAGGTCACCCAAAGGAGGTATCTAGTAACAGGAGGAAGCAACATAAACCAAGACTGGAGCCTGTGGATGACGCAGACTGGGAAAAGCCATTCATACTGGGTGGGTGGGGAAAAAAGTTTTCAATAACAGAAAAATTTTCCAGGACCAGCTCTTACAGCACTGTTTCAGAGGCCATATAAAACAAGAAAAAAATCACCCCCCATCCATACCATCTCTTCAAGACATGCACTAAACCAAAGATATGCAGAAGCCCTTTCTTCCTCCTCCAAGCTGCCATCACAGAAATGTCGATATAAGCATCTCTTCGCCAGGGCTTGCTTGATTTGAGGCCTCCTAAAGACCACTACTTTTGTGTGCTAACGCTCCCAAGGCAGACCACACCATTCAGGGTGGGCCCCCTGCCCCGAAGTGGGAAGCTATCCAGGCTACCTTTGTACAATAGGCCTTTTCCAAAGAGTTTCCCATGGGCCATCCTGTCCAAGCCCAGGCCACAAGCTGTCAGTGCTGGGTCGGCAGCAGGAGGCAGCCAGGCCCTCCACCATCTCTGGTAAGAGGTCCCACCTGGTGACCCTGCCACATTTATGGCCACAAAATCTGCTTATAGGCCTGCACAGCTCTGTCCTGGAGGACCCGGAAAGGCCATGCAGGGACACCTGACTGATTCTAACAGCCTGCCAGGCCTATCAGCCATGTCCAACAACACAGGGGGCAGTGGCAGTGAAGGGCACAAAGCAGGGAGGTGCAGAAACCTCAAAATATGGATGGGAAAGTCCTGTGGCCACAAGGGTGGGCGGGGCCAAGACAGGTGAGGAGATGGTCCTGGCATGGCACAGTACACCAACAGTGTTCCACAAAATAAGAGATAAGCAAGACTGACCAATTTTCCCATTGCTTCTCACCCCCCTACATGTTGGTGACAAAAATGACTAGCAAAAACGGTCCATAAAAATAAGCATATGCGCATGCAAAAAGTTTCCCACCGCTGCTGTGAACAAAGGAAGGCAACTTTGGAAACACCAGAGGAAGAACGTGATTTTTGCTCACACAACCCAACCTTGTGGCAGTCAGCGTAAGTGGAGACTCACTTTTCCAACATCCTCCGGTGGAACATGGCTCCCTCACATGCCTATGCAGCTATGCACCAAGCAGTTTCCTTATTACTTTCACATAAACAAGTTTTGCCGTTTCCAAGGAGATGGATCTGTGGGCAGTTATAAGGAGGGCGGTGATCCAAAGCAAATAATGAATAAGAGAAGGAGGGAATAAAGCACCAGAAAATTTGAGAGTTTTGGGACAAGCTCAGCAACACGAAGGTGCAGGAACATGGGGGACACCCACTTGGGAGAAAGGGAAGTAAAAACCCTTTAGTTCTGCAAGTGAAGCCAGAGGAAAGTGAAAGAGAAGAGGCCAGCTCACCCACCTGGTGGTGGTGATCCAGCTAATCCAGTGTGGGCTTCAGCATGAAAACCTGCAACTTTTTCAGCACAGCAGAGGGTAACACACACCCTGCAGCTGGAGCGAGGAGATCCCCAGGCTGCTCCGAACAGCACAGGCTCAGCAAAGGGTGTGAAAGAAAACACCACAGGACCGAGACACCTGTGTTTGCAGAAACTCAGCTGCAGACATAGTTATGGATGCCTTGCTTTACCACAGCTTCCTCAGACGCAGAGGCTGTGTGAAGTAGGTTGAAGTAATGGTTGCTATAGTGCTTGGAGGCTCTGTCAGCATAATTACTCTAGGAGAGGTGCTCTGGTGTTGTCGAGTCCTAATATCTTAGCAGGTAAATATAGCTTATAATGATCACACTGCACAGGAGTAATGCCAACACTGCACACTTCAGGCAAAGAGATGTGCCAGGAAAAGGATCAAGTCATTCTGCAGCAGCAAGACATCACTAAACACCCTGGCCACTTTCAGCCCATTGCGACAAGAAACTCATCAGGAAATAATTAAGTAGCTTGATGTATGTTTTAACGTCAACTGTCCTACCATCAACTTTTTCCCCAAGTATTTAAGCTTCTATAAAACCATCACAAACAGGTTTGCTTTTTAAAAAGTCTAACACAGCCCACATCCATTGCAAGCTTAAACCACTCTTTTATTCCATGCTACCATGGACACCTGCCCTAGAGAGGTGCTTTAAAGCAGATATTCCCAAACAGCAATATTTGTACTAACATAACTCCACAAGGCTTAGGGGGATCTAGCACTTGAACAATGCTCATTAAAGCAGCCAGAACACCATCGTTTAGACAAGCCCTTCTTTGAGGAAATCAGTGCACTCCTTTGAGTTTGGGGAACAGCCAAGGGAGAAGTATGCATATTAAACAGAGGTTGACAAAATAGAGGGGAGGGGAAGAAGGAAGAAATGCTGCACTCCCACCCCAGCAGCCTGCACTGCTGTGGTAAGCAGGGTGAAGCACTTGTGCTGTGCAGGTCACATCTGGAGTTAGCACCAGCTCTTTGAGTTTCTAAACCAGAACTGGCCCAGCATGTGTTGGTGGATGCAACAGTGATGCTCAGATACCCAATGTTATTTTACACAAAAACACAAAGTAGCTGGTTCCTACATACTCTGCATCAAGCATAGGGCAAGCTGGTGCTGACCATGGTCTTTCCATTTAACCATCAGCCTGGCCAAGCCATCTATGTTTTTCTCCAAGTCTGAGCCAGGAGGCTCAAAGAGTTCTGTGCCACACATTTGTAACCCTGTGCATGGTGCATGATGCCAGGCACAACAGATTAGCTCTGAGACAGTACTGCACTAATGCACATGCAGTGTCTACTTCCTACCTTGCTGCAGCCAGCGTGCTCATCCCTGGCTGGATGAGCATCCCTCAGTGGGACCACTTCTGCCTGTTGGCTCACCATCCCATGCAGGCTGAGAGCGAGCTTGCACAAGATTGCTGGGGAGCAATCCCACCATCAGGTCCATACCTGTATATGTGACTGTCATGCCTCAAAGGAGAGATAGCGAGCTGGAGTTTGGTACCTTAAGACAAACAGGGAATTTCCCATTTCATTTCAGTCATCGAAGCACTAATACAATTTACTTTCATACAGTTTCCACTTAGTTTTGCTGAATGTGGCCTGCATTAAATGCCAGAGCACTGGATTGGGTTGCTGTAAAAATCAATTGACATTTATTGCTGTCTTTCAGCATAACAACATTAGGGAGTCACAGAACACAACTGAAATCCCAAATGTTACAGAAAGATCAGTTATAACTTCTTCATCCCCCTCTTCCTCTTCTTTCCGTTCCTCCCCTGCATTGCTAGCCACATCATTAAAAAAGTTTTAAAAAAATGTCTCCCAAAGTGAAAAGTCCTGAAACATTTTGCCACATACACAATTATGTCCCATACTGTAAAGCAGCATGTGGAAAAGCTTTTTCCACATGTGAACTACAGCAGACTCAGGGAATAATGCTGGTTTAACAGTCTCGCAAAAGATACTAAATGAAAAATGTGATAATGTAAGGAATGTTTCCACTAAATTCTCTGATGTTTGTTATCTCATGGAGACACTGGTTCATTTAAATCACTTGTGAGGGCAAACTTTTAGAACCAAAGAAAGAGGTGCTGTCAGAACACCTTCAAAGGAGAAAAAGAAAAAACAGATCAAAGCATTTTTCAGAAAGAAATACAAAGATATATATCTGATGACCTGACCTACTGGGCATGCAAAATTTATAGTGGTTTTTTTCATAACTGAAAACAAAGTCTCAGATGAACCAAGGAATGATTCACTGTTTATCTGACCTAAGAGAAGTTTTAAGAACTGCCCCAACACAGGCTATACCAAGAAACTCCCAGAATTCTGGCTGCTGCTTTGACTGTTTGAGCCAAGCTTTGCTGGCGAAAGGCTATGTGAGAAACCATTTTCTTGACACAATCCAAATCGGTCTATTTTTCCACCCTTTCCTTTGAGAATCAGGGGGAAAGCTTGGTCAGCTGTAGTAGCTAGGCTGCAACACTCAGCCTTATTCCCAACAGAAAAAGAACAGCCCTTCCACAGACAAAAAAAAATAATAATAAATAAATAATGTTGTAGGCAAACTGCACTGTTGTTTTGGGAACATCCAGTCTCTAGCATCCTGATACAACTACTTTAATCAGCCTGAAACATATGACATTGCTCAGAACATATCTAAGTAACTGGTACTCCCATGCCATCTCTAATCTAAGTGGGTTAGAAGTGAAATGGCAACAGCTGCAAAATAACAGGACGTAAAACCTCACTGAATCAATAAAGCATTTCAACATGTTTTTAAGGTTTGTCATGTTCCAGTTTAAATAAGTTTAGAGAAAATGGCCAAAAAATTGTTAGAGAAATTAAGGAAGCTGGGGGTGTTTTGAAAAACTGACACAGATGAGTCCATGGGAGTCAGTGTGTTGCACAAACTGCAAGATACACACTGGCAGTCTCAGAACTGGATATATAAAGGTTAAGTGCCCAGTTTCTTCTTTGATACTACGGTAGCAAAACCTATTTATTCCTGAATCTCAAGTCTTATGCAGAACTTTCATACAATCATTGTTCTTCAGTCTTGGAAGAAAAGGAAAAGAAATGGCATGTTATGTTTTCTCATGACACTGTACGTACTGTCAAGTAGGATAAAGCCTGGCATTTTAATGAAAAAAAAAAAACCAAACACCAAAAAACCAACAAGCTCCTAAGACTTTTCACTGTACCAGACCTAAGCATTTATATTCATATTTTTCTAGTTCCTAACTGCTAGAGATAAAAGAGAACAAAAAAAGAGGAAGAAAGAAAGTGGAAATGAGTTATACAAGTACTTTGTGAACAAGGCAAAAAAATAACCTGGTGGGGAAAAAACTGAGCTATTTTTATGACAATTTTTTTAGGAATAGGTTCTAACCTGGCAGTTAGAACCAGGCAAGCAAATTTGGGTCATAATGTCATTAGAGTTCTGCTGTTTTCTTCAATGAGCACAGCAGACTCAATTCCTCATTCAATTGGGCCTTCATTCAAAAGGGCATGATAGACTCATAATCAATACTTTCTGGGGAAATCCAGTTGCTGCAAACTGCTTTAACCCGTATGTGCACACAATAACTGAACTTGGAATTCAGAGGAGCAAGACTGCAAATTCCAATCTAGTAATATGTTAGCATGAAGGCATCTAGCCTGGAATATAGTGTTATCAAAATAATTACATTTATAAATCCTTAATCAGTCCAAAGTAATCAAATATAACCTTTTTGTAATAAGCATCAAACCCAAACTCAAATACTACAAATGGTCACTAATATACTTCCTCACTTCACTCATAGTTCCTCTTCTCCTGTCATCCACCCCCACGCTGCAGTTGGGTTTTGCCCCTCATCTCCTCTGTTTTCATTGTATTTATATCATCCTGTAGCTTTGTTCCTTGCCCTTCTCCATCTGGCATTCTTCTTTTCCCACTCCATCTTCTAGCATAAAAAATTAGGACTTTTTTCAAAGTAAAAATACCCGGTTTTCCCTCAAACAAGAATAACTATCAAATTTCTTCCTTTTATACTTAAAATCCAGTTCCAACAGATGCTGTTTGCTCTTAGTACACTGGCTGATGTGGTAATTGAAGGTGGTTTCCTCCGTACTTTACATAAAAAATGTAAGAAGTTCCTTTTTCTCTTCACTATTATTTTTTGCTGATGCCATCACACTGTCTTCCATATGTAGTTTGTTTAGCTTAGTGTGTCCTGACAGATTGGAAGGCAGAAGGAAATTACTGGCTTTGGCTATAGACCCTTTATTAAAAGGAGGAAGGCTTCGCTGTTGTGGAAAGGGAAGGTTTTCAAGGGCAAGTGACTCCAGTATAAAAGACTATATCTGTGCACAGGCAGAATAATTAGAGATTACAAAGGCAAATGCGAAAAGGAAAAGTCATATTAGAGTAGGGCAGGGCAAATATAAGAGTGGGTTGAAATGACAATCATAGTGAAGAAATATTACGAGGTATGGGATAGTTCTTGCAGGTACTGACTCATTTACAGTAAATACTTTTACTGCATGATAATTTTCACCTTTTGTGTCTCAAATATTTAATAGTATCATTGACAGATTGTTATGAATGTTGCAACTTTAGGCAGATGAAACACACAGATTGTGTTGTCACCATTGCCTTGGAATTTATTTTTAAAGTAAACTTCTGTTTTTACCAATATTTTCTCAAGGAAACTGTCAGTCTCTTCATCCAGCATCCTAGCACAAAGATAGAGTAGGAGGTAGATTTTTAGACAGATAACTATAAAAACTTGGCATAGATGAGAAGCACAAAGAAGGTAATCATTCATAGGATTTGTCTCCTTTTACCATCTACCACACCTACATTTTTTTTCCATATATTCCTACGCTACTGATAGCTAGGCACCTGGCAGGGAAGAAGAACTCCATTTGTACATCAGGCAACCTAGGCATCAGAACGAGGAAGAAAAAAAAAAAGATGCTAACAAGGAAAAGATAAGTTTCACTCCAGGCAAGAAATTATTCCCAAAATCCTATTTTGTCAGGAACAGTTGTCTTTAACAACGCAGAAAAATTGCAAGCAGATCTGAGTCAGAGAAACTCCTCAATCTTATTTTGGAGACCTATTTTGTTGAAAAATAATTTTAAATAATATCATCTGTTTGCATGACTCAGAATATTCATTGCAACTTCAACGCATCCTCATTGTGCATCCTGACCAGGCACAATACCCTAAGTATTACTGACAAATAGTTTATATATCATACGGTATAATGAGTACTCAGAAATGCAAAAATAGTTTTATCACTACTTCTGCCCTGAGTATTCAAAGTCATTACTTGCTTCCATGTATTTAAACTTTCATGACTTCAGTGATTCAAAGTAAATCTGAGTAAGATGCTACAAAATTCTGCACAATGTTGCAGACAGAAAACTAACTTCAAATGATTATAAAATTTTTAAAGGCATTTCTTCCCTATTAACTATATGCAGTTTCTGATTGCAAGGCAATTTAGTGGATCTCTAGTGTCTTGTCTTAAATTCTTGCCATTCTGTGTGATCTTAGTAAGTTAGAGGGATGGGACTAATAAGGGACTAATGTTCCAGGATACCCGAACCTTTCAGCCTCAGGGCTGAGTGTGGTGATGACAGGCTTGCATTCCCTGAATATAAAAGAAGTGCAAGTATAGATCCAAAACAAGCAGCAAACTCAGTGAGGAGCTAACAAAAGTTGAGATGGGGGAGACTCTATGAATGTAGATAAGTGTGAAGACCCACCCTAGTGCTTGGCACCTTTATACTCTTTGGACTCAGAATTTGGAGTCCTTTTCTGGCAGTGAGGGCCAAAATCCATTCTTAAAAACAATGAATAAAGAGTCCCTGTAGCTTTTCTGGTCTGTGACTTCATTTCATGCAGCTGCTGGTCACAGCATTTTTCTTTGTGTTACTGCTGGA